TAAGTGAATATGAGTACAGTGGCATCGGATGGATTCCAACAAGTGGCATGAATGTTGATAGTAAGCTTTTATTTCGTGTTAAAATATAGTTCTATGTAGTTGACCAGCCCACTCAGTCACAAGGTGAAGAAAATAGGGTGAGGGTTCCTGAAACCTAGTTCACTGCGGCTGCACATAAGCAACCCCAACTCCGCTTTAGTACTGGTAGTGTAGCTAGTCAGATTTATCAAGATAATTGTACTGATTTAAATATTTGTGATTATAATGACAAACCAATTGCAGGCAGCATAATTTCTATGAAGAGTAACAATATTAACATACCGGGTTCTTGCAGCCGAATGACACCTGAGTATGGATTTCATTTGATCACTTTTCCTACAGTCTCCTCTGGTCTCAGCTATGCTGTGTAGTAGGCACTTTTGTAGGGAGAATTGACATGTCTGAGACGAAAGTTTCACACTCATCGAAGAACAGCTTAGTTTTCTTACAGGTAATCGCGTTGTGGAAACAGAAACTTCCTGTTGTTTACTATTGCCTGTAACTACCCGTTGCAATCCTACATGGAATTGCTCGACCACCGTCGAGAGATGTACCCCTCTACGGTGGCCTCGATACTTCCCGAATATTCATTTTATTGCGCAGGAGCCCATTCGTCGACAAAACTCTATCAATCCGACCCATTATAGGAAACCAACGTATTAACCTAGTGATGTGGGGTAAGCTGATTAAAGAATGTCGAAAATGAGACACTGAAAAGATGACGATTAAGCCAAGAAATAAGAACTGTAGTCAAGGAATAAAATTATCACGCATAGCAAATTTGAGTCAATTGTAGCAAGCTGTTTCTCAAATGAAATTTGACATAATGCTGATGGCTAGGAAGAGTAAGCGATTTCTTCTGGTGGTCGATTCCTGCTATCTATCATGTAAGCCTACTGAGTGTAGAAGGAGGAAGAATAAGAATAAAATTTAAAAGTTGAGTTGATGGAGGCGTCACTTATGCGTAGTTGATGTGCTGGTCGGTAGTGCAAGGAAGGTAGCTGCACAAATGTCAGTCGAACGCACAAGCTTGACTTGTTCAGATGGATATAAAAATAAAGCTTAGGCACCTGAGTAGTTGATTTATTAGATGCATCATTCAGTGAAGACAGGTGAAGCAAGTGAAATTGAATCGTTCATATGTGCTTATATTGCTTCTGGTGCGGGAAAGTTTGAATTATTGAGAGGAATTTGGAACTAGATGTAATATGACGAATAAATTTGTGAACTCCGCTGCAATGAACTCGATGTCCAGTGCCGATGGCATGTGAAATATGGGGGTTCCCATTAAATTGGTCTGTCCTCCTTTGAACCACCAACTGTCAGTCTCAAAAATGAGACGATTCACCAACCGAACTGCACACGTACAACATCTTACTTCATAAAGAAACCTAATCTGTCCCATGCATCTTACTGAATCCAACATACGGTATGTCCATAAATCGAGACTAGTTTCAAAACAAATGAATATATCTTACGTAGAAAATTCTCCCTGAGACGTGTGGACTACTGTGAGAGAGAAAAATAGTCATAATTTCACAGATACCACAAAGAATCAGCTGTGTCAGGGAATAAACTCCCTCAAAACAAAGTTGTATTTCAGTAATTCTTCAATCGCTAGAAGTTTCAGGTCAAGGGAAAACAACATTTCTCGTAAATATAAGGAGTCCACTCAGCTTGCAAAAGAATGGACCAAATAACTTGCAATCTACAAAGGAGTGTGAATTGCCCACTGCCTAGTTGCAAATACTCGCATAAATGCCTACTTGGAAACAACCGAATATTACGACGAATATCCGCTGAATACAAAGCATAACACATAAATGATCATCTTTATCGAGCACAGACCTGCTACACTTATTCACATTACCACTTGACAACTGATCGTACACGTACACGCACTGATCAGTAAAACAAACGAAGCTACAATGTTCTACACATTAAAACACAACTTCACATTTAGACCAACTGACACAAACAGCAACACGCATGTCAGTGACACCAACAATACACACTATACCAGCTCATCTCTCTCATTGACAAATTACTCAGTGAAATATAAGAGATGTGGCTGCATCATATCAGTCAGACTTCAGAAAACATTTCACACCTTCATCTGAGTGTTGCAAGTGAGTAAGTTCAACAGAAGCCAGTCGAAATTGATTGTAATTTGCACAAAACTTTGCACAATATCTTCAGCACCACAGATGTCGCAGACTTCTGTCGACAGATTGTTTCTCCTAAAAGGGTTAAGATAATCATCAGCAGTTCGGTTGAATGGATCACAGTTTTACCAAATAATTGAAGTGACAGTTTCACGAAATCGAGAGACACAGTGAGTATTAGACATACATGCATTTCGATAGTAGGCAGATATCGAAATTCCTAGGTCATGTTGTTAGTAGACACTTTGCTGACAGATACAGAAGTGAGTTTGAAGTGCCCTAGATGTATTTTGATTGGCATAAGACGACCTAAAGAGATGCTGTCTACAAGTTTTCAGTTGAAATGCAACTTTTGGTCAATATGGTCTCTGTGTTTATCCCTCTTAGCCACAGGTGATGACTTGGATCACTATGAAGATACCAAAGATGGCGACACATCAAAAGAATGGAAACGGGGTTCAAAGAAATCAAGCAGCAAACGTGGGTGGAAATCAAGGAGTCAGTTCGAACCGATTATGAAGAAGACTGTCAAGTACAATGAAAAGGCACAATCGAACTCAACAGACGACTACTGTAAGCAAGAAATAACTATTATATTGTTGCATTCCTCACCCTGTGTGACATTTTATTGCTGACACCTTCACCAAGAGTATACTGGCACCTGTCTCCAACCAGTCGAATATGTCTAAGTATGGCGACGTCAGAAGACAGATTTCTAGTAGCTGTTTCGACGATTGGCGTCAGATGACTCTGTTCACCGCTACACATAATCGAATTCATCGGTCTCTATACTTCAAGTTCTCATCACACACTGATATATGATGCACTTCTATATGAGTTGCACTCGAGGATAATCAAGTTCAAATTTGGTCTGTCAGTCCTATCATTTATGCTGATATTGCTACAAAGAATTTAGAGGTTGTTTGGGATGTCAGTTAGCTGACAAGTTTTAGTCTTCAAACAGAGGCAGTGGCTGAATGTGGCTATTGACTTACGGTGTAGTAAGACACAAAACAAGTAAATCGATAGGTGCAGTGTAGTTGAACGACGGTCAGTGATAGGATCTGCAGTTAGCTGTAGGTCGGTCTTCAGTCATTCGGGTGGTAGTTTGTGTATCCTCATTATTTCCATGCATATTCTGAGTACCTGCATTTTTGATTTGGTTTCGCCTCGTATTGTGAATGTCTGTGTTGCTTGTTATCCAGATGATGATGAAATCGTGGAAACAACATGGGTCGTTAAATTGGGAAACAAAAATATATCGACTAAGGAATTGCTCAACTTTACCAACAGACAGCTGAACTCGATGGATTTGTTCGGAAAAGATGTGAAGCGAGGCAACGGAAATGTCTCAGGTAATTTTACATGTGTGTACTTTTATGAGATTTGTTCTTGACAACTTTCTCATCGCGAATTGTTGGAACCTTGATTGTATGCTTGTATGCGTATTTAGTTTAACATTGCCGGTTTGGTCATTTCTCTATCTAATTCTATTTGTTGAAATTCTCTTTTTGCTTGTGTGGACTAACATGCTGATATGTTCATTTTACCTTAGTTTTGAAGGTGGATACTGCTGAATCTTGTAACCATATGGAGATATGTGTCGAGGGTAACAGACAAGGTTTTCGAACGCATTGTGAACAATATCTATGTGATTGAAATGTTAAGGTGTTTCTAGAGGTATGTGTGAATTTAATACTGGATAAAGTAGAGATGCCATGACCAATCGATTGGCTTTTGTTGAACGACTGCTACCGCTGGTCATAATAATACAAACGCTAACTTCGGCTCACTTAAAAACGGCGATACTACGAAATAAGTTACAACACCATCAACGAAGTAGGTAGCGAGCCAAAAAATGTAAGCCATCAAAACCAGAAGATCGTAGACGATATTCAACCGTCGGATGATAGTGACAAAGAAAAATTTATCCGAAAGGAAAGGAGCAGAGAAGAACAAGTCTCGCGAGTGATGCAAAGAAAGACTACAAATAACAGAAAAAGAGTGCAAGTCAATGAAAAACATAAAATGTAAAACAGTAACACAAATATACAAATCACCGGAGATGGAAAGATAGACGAAAAGTTTACCCATAGAAAGGAAAAATATCAAATGAAAGCAAATCTCGGAGAAATCCAAATGCAAAGAAAAGCAGCAAAATAAGGAAAACGTCAGAGATTTCACATTTTGGTACAGTAAAGAAAGATTACTGACCTGAGCATTAACCTCACTTACATTCAACCAAGTTTTGTTTCAAATGTCACAAGGCAGTGAAGACATCTGGCTTTCAATAATACCTTTCTCAGGACAGTACAGTTGATTTCACAAAAGGCGTTATACAACCGTTGGTAAATAAATGGCTAACATTGAATCTCTCACCATTTTTCAAATCGTCTCCATCCATTCTCCCACAAATTGTGCTTCTCAGACACACACACACACACACACACACTTCCCACAGCCTCTGCTCCCTGGGATCATGAAAAAGTTTCTCAAAATTTTGTAAGTCAGTAGATGGTTACGAGGAAACCTGACCCGGATTATGCGACCAACAGGCATTGAAGAATAAATTGTGAACTGCAATCAGAACTAGAAGTCGATGCTAATGCGAAACGAAGTGGAGTCGGGAACTGTACAGAGGAAGACACTCATAAGGCGATTAATCATCAGGGCACCGGATAAAACGTTTTAAATAGTGGGGCAACAGTGTAGTGACAACTGCTTGTCAGGATGAACTTAAGTAGTATATAAATATGAGTTTCCCATTCACCAAAGAAAACTTATACTTCTTTACAGGTAGTAACAATGTGGAAACAGAAACATCCTGGTTCACTGCACCTAGAACAGAAAAACAGAATACTCAAACGATTGTGGAATTTTTCGACAAACAGACTGATTTGGATCGCATTCTAGGAACATTTTTCCCAAAGAAGATAACCACAAAAGACTCCGGTAAGTCACAATTGGAGAAGGTGTTTTACACATGTGTCTAGGGTTGTTTTTATCGCTTCTTCGAGTTTGCACGGTCAAAGACCAGTTTGTGGTGAACTTGAAGCATCGTCACATCTTCCACGCAAATGCATCTCGTGCCTTCCATTGTGTCTATTCTCAGATAAACACAACGTTTCTTGTTACTCTTATTTTCGCAATCATTTCCTATCTACATCCGATAATGATCAATTCATGAATTATTAACACGTGAGGTTACACCGATGATGAGCTGCGTGGCAGGTGGTCGAAACCGCCATTGCAGTCTTCTAATCAGTCTCAATCTAGTGACAACTGCCTATCAGGATAATCTTAAAGAGTTGATTTATACATGCATTTCAATATTTAGCGTGTTGATTACTTGAATTTTTGTTATAAATCAACTGTACACTTACGGCTTATGTAATTTTTTCACAATGAAAATTATCTTCTGGCTCATTGCATTTTACTACACACATGGAATCCTGCAGAATGTCTCGGGTACGGCGCTGGTTTTCATTTTGAAATGGTTTGCTAATCCTTTGGATTATCATTAATTTTCTTCTTCCTTTTCACACTTTTCGAATCTTTTTCCTTCTCATTTCAGGTTGGAATAGTGCTTCGAGAGATGGTGACAAGAATGAAGACGTTGTCGGTGGTGCATAACATTTTCATGCCTGACTGATGTTCATATAATACATTGTATCTTCAACTCTATTTAATACACTTGGTCATTTTTTGAAAATCTTAACTTCTCTTGTCTTCATCACCTGACCTGTGCAGTTCAGTGTGTTTCTTGTCGCAGATCAAGTATGCAGCAAGAATAAAGCCAACACACAACAATTACTCATCATCCCAAATAAGTGAAACTCTAGGTATTTTCATCCAGCGGGGACCTGACTCATTTGACTCGTCATCATCAACAGCTAATCGCACAGTGAAAATAACCGAAAGCATTCATTCAAGTGTGATCATCTCTGCTGATATCGTCTTCAAACTGCATAGTTACACATGAACACTAATTTAATCCGACAACACAACGCATTATTCCTCAAAGTATCTCAATCCAATTTGATTTCCGTAACGTTCATACGGTTGGGAAAAGCAATGTTTAATTTCAAGGCCAATTGCATAATATGCCACTTCAATTCGCAGAAATTATCTAGCGAACGACACTAAAGTGGATGCGACACGCAAAACCACCGTTGTGGAAAACTGAGCATGATATTCACAGTTCGCACGAATGCTGAAATTCTGTGCATGAACATGGTAATGCAAATTTCCTGTGCATAACTGCCTATACGGAAGTGTTGCATTAGACATTATACACAATCAGCTGTCAGCGAATTTGATGAAGATCATCACCAGCTTGACTTATACTCAGCACCTTCAACTTTTGAAGTGAGTGAGTTCAATCGAAATTGAGAAGCCATGCACCAAACATGTATCTCTCAGCCGAACTGTCACTACTGTATTTAACACAGGGCTCAAGAATGCAAACAAAACTGTACAAGTGTCCACCCAATCTACTGATTCACGCGTACACACTGAAGTAGGTGAGTACACTGAGAAATCAGAGGAGTCGAATTCAAAAGACAGACTCACTAAAGTGATGAGCCTCTTTTTGAGCAAGCCAATTGAAATGGCACTGGAGACGAAATCAGGTGAATGAAACATGGCAACTCAGATACCAGATACCAGATTCCAGAGTTTGCAGGAAACCAACTCATTGAAATAGACACTTGGATTTCACAGCGTCTCACACCATGTCTAATGAGGTATACTCAGTAAAATGTTTGAGTAATCGAAATGGAAGTTTGACCAGTAAGCCAGAAAATCTAAATAAGCAGCTGAAACACACTACTACTCAATAAATACTCTTCGGAAACTAATAAGAGATTTGTGGGGACTTGTAAGAGAATGGGTGATGATATTGGTGTTAATTCCAACATGTTGAGAAAGGAATTCAAATTCACCATAGAGTTGCCATATATAGAAGGCACATCGGAAATCCCAGGTTGAAAGCAGGACAACGCTGGAGTTGGGGTGATACCTCAAACCACAAGACAATAGTCGACTCAGACAGAAAGCTTTGCAGACAAACGTCTTGCAGGTCCAAGTACACGAAATAATCTCATCTATCAAATACTTTGTAATAATTGTGTGGCCACGCATGTAAGTCAAGACATTCGATCGAGGTCAGTTAGGGTGGCAAAGAACTCGAGTTTAGCGAAACGTGGGATGATAAACCCTACTGAAACCAGTAGTTTGGAGAGGAACTGGGTTATCGCTCTGCATGCAATGACTCAAAATCACACTGTATGTTGGAATAGAATGAAAGTTCTAGAAATCCGATGTAGTTAGGTGAAGTGACCGGTTGATAACAGAATCTTTATTGAAGAGATCAGCATCCAACACGTGCTTGAGGAACGATTCACCACTCATTGCAGGTATTTAGACATTTCCGCTACCATCAAACGAAAGAATGATGAACTGTTGCACCATATCAGTAAAGGTTGAGAGTTGCATGATTACCTTGATATGGTAAATTCTTCTGTTAACGTCATCCAATAACTAATGCTGTATCACCGTGTACTATTTCAAATAAACAGTTTAGCATGAAATGTGATGCAATTTGAGTTGTCAATGAGGCCGAAATAGGTCTGATACCATTGAAGGCAGTAGATAGCCCAATTTCTGAGGCAGTGTCTAGAGTACCGTTTATAATATTCAATAGAGAAGAAACTCGTTTGATAAATCAACTGAGACGAATTTATTTTCAAAATACACATTGTTTTATATATCTAAATAGACAAAATATCTGACAGAGTTTCAGTTTCAGGACGATGATCATCGAATAGGTCTCTGCAATCACATCAACAGTTGCACAGGCTGCAGTTTAACGATAACAGGTTGTGGAATATTTTCAACTGTCCACCGTACTCAAATATGAGCGTCAAAACAACACACCATATAGGATGAACAATACAAGTTTACTGAATTGAATACTGTTTGAGGCTGAAAACATTCAAAAACTTTGGTGAAACCACTGAAAGAACAAAAGGAATCTGACATGTAGGCTAACTGAAGGAAGGAGAAATGAAACCTAACAGCGCACTTGCCCTATTTAGTAAGAGGATACAGTCGACCTATATCTGTTGTAACCAGAAGGTTGTGTGTAGACTTTGTACAGGATCAGGAGAATTTAATTTTCCAATAGCTAAGACTCTAACGTTTTCAGCTGTTATGAAACAAGACGTAATTCAAGATGTTAACGAACTTGGGAACAACCTACAAAAGACCAACTGGACGAAATAAAGCCTAATGCACTGACCACTGATATAAATTTTAAGTGCACACTGACTGATAATTGAAGAGGATATCGACTCCATCATCACACTTAAATCACTCAATGACATTTCCACAATGCCTCAATGCAAGACAGCTGACTAGCACGAGCTTTCCAGAGATATTCTTGCTTCAACCAGAAGATGATCACCTAACCACTGGTACAATCTTAATTCCCTTACAAGTGGTGGGCAACGTAGTCTACGACGCAGCACACTTCAGTTATCTGTAGCAGGAATTCGTAAAATATCATTACATCAACGAGTGGATCACTTAATTCAGCATCTCGATCTGGGTTTCAATATGCACTTGAAGATTTGAAACATCCTGAAAAAATCTATCCCAATCAAACCTTGAAATCAACTTTCCATCCGGCTAGAGACCCCAGACAGAATACAACCAGCTTACCGATATATAAATGATTCGCTGGAAATGTAAGCACCAGAACAAGCTTCACTATTTATTGCTTTTAAACCATAAAGTTATTTAAATAACTCCCAGGCAGAGATTAAATTCTCACAAAACAGAAGTTCCCACTCTCTTCTCTACACCACGACATTGCTCTGTAGAGGTTTTGTCATGCAGTTGGATCTTCTTACGTCTATATTATCATTCGCCATACATAACTATTCTTCCTATCTTTGCAGTTTCCTAAATGGAAGGAAAGAAAGCTTGTCGAAACTTACAGTGATTCATCCATGCAGTAAATGCCAAGATGCATTCTGAGGTTTTATATGACAATAGTGGTAGTATCACCTTAACATTCTCCGTCAAATCGTCTCGGTCTGTGTGTTGTAGCATGATTCTATGACTGAGTATTGTACCCTGAGAACTTCTGTGTTGAGCTTCCTTAGATAGGTATGAACAGCCATCGTTTCTAAATAATGGTTTACTTAGATCAACACATGTGTGAAACAGTGGTCACAGTTGAGTGGTGAAAGTGGATGATGGGCGCCGTATATCAACCAACGCCCTTAATGAAGAAAGGACAAGTCTAGTGAGACGAGTTGTGAAACTGACACGATCCTCATAACCAATAGATGTAAGAAGCCACAGTCACAAGAATTGAAATCATCTCGTCCTGTTAACAAATAACCGTCCAGAGTCAAAGCAGTGAATTCTTTCGATTCACCAGCAGAATTAAGCACATCGGAGAAACTACAGCCAGGTGTGATATGAATGCATGTGATGCAAATATGCCTGCAGTTCACTCATCAAATGCTTAGGATGACAATTTTACACTAAGATAGTGGACTTTATCATTGGTAAAGTTGCAAGATACATAAGTGGAGGTAGGGCATTAGGTGTTATTAAAGATTTCTACATCTACACCACACTTCTGTGCGTATCCACATCGAGTCTGTCGTAATGCTTAGGAGATGAACAAGCTTTGTAATATATTATTCTGAAGAATAACAATCCCATTTCTCAAGTAGAAGTAGTACTCTCAGACTCACATAAGAAGAAAAGTGACTGTCATTGAAATATTTGTATTGAAACAAGCCGAGAGTTCCAAACAGTTCACAGAATGTTCTCATATACCCAGACTAATGATAGATTGGACTGTTTGAACAGCCTCGAGAGATGATTTGGTCTGTTTCACTGTTCAACGCGTAGTTCACTTCTGTAACCTCGAA